TGAAAAGATGGACTGGAATCGTAGAAAAACTGCTCCCTTTGTCATCGAATAAAAGTTTATCTCTGATTTTTTCTTGGAAATCTTCTCAAAAATGCACGAAATGCCATTTTAGAAGGTTCATTTTTCAAAATTTTCCGGGGGAGCATGCCCCCGGACCCCTCTAAGAACCTCACGCCTACGGCGCTCGAGGTCCCCTCAAGCCGTCTGAAGAACCACCCCCCCATTCAAAATCCTGGCTACGGGCATAACAGTGACTGATCCATGTATCTGTGAGGCAAAACTTTGACGTGGCTGGCGGAAAACGGTTGCGTTTGTATCGTAGGCTGGGTTCTACTTATTTATGGGTGGTACCCAAAACAAAAAAGAGATACCTCACGCTTATCAATTCTGGGCAATTTCGAACACATTGGGTATGAAATGATAATGGAAATGTGTTAAGAAATGGCAGTAAATGTCAATATTAGACAGATTCTCTCATCCAGAATATGATATATTATATATTGTTTTTGCTGCCTGAAATTATAGCTATATCGACTCGGCTAGCAACAAGTGTAGATGTAGCGTGGTACAGGTGCGTTAGACATTAGACATGGCAACTGTAGACTCACGGGTCATGTAATTCGTAAACCCTAACGTTTACTTCTTCCACTACCTGAACTCTGCCAAATCACGTATCTCGCTTTGACTTCTACTAGTGTAAATACACCTTTCGATGAAGACGCAGACAAAAAGTCAGGAATCAAAAAGCCAAACGCAGGTCGCAGAAAAGTGACAATAACGCGGAGATGGGGTTTCCAGATGTTCTGTCTGTAGGATGTCTTAAAAACCACAGGATTTGTCCGTCACCGTCAAGAGGAGCTATAGGAAGTTGTAGTCCCCCTCCCCAAGATGGCGACTCAAGAAAGCGTTTTAAAGTGCTACATTCTAACGCTAAATACTCAGTAAAAGCCTATGTATTGAAACAGTAAATAGTATATACATGAAGTGTTGTTCACTTACTGTTATTTAATCACTGTTTTTTTTTCTCTTCTTGAAACACATTGAAGCATAACTCATAACTGCATACTTTGTCCGCCTATATCAGGTATGCAAAATGTCCTGCTTTTTATTTGACATTGTCTTGCATTTGATGTCTTCTATTTGTCATTTTAACTATAGTTTTTTTTAGATGAATATGTCTTTTAATCTTTGTTTTAGTTCATTTTAATAGATGAGAATGTACACACGTGACTCGCTACTCTTCTCGATAATCGGAGGTTGGAATTGGCGCCACGCCCAGAACTCTGTCATCACACACGTGGGGCAGTCGGCTTTACGTCACCGTCCGAAATGACTGCAGTTCCTCATAACATGTACGTGCAGGTCCGGTCCTGGAATGTGGAACCAGCGCCTAGGCATTAGGCCACACCAAGTCATTTTTTAAATTGATGACGTCCCCTGGAGGCCCTAAATCTTATGCGAGAGCGCGAAAAAACAAGAAGGGCCAAAAAAAAAGCTACTCTTCAAGCAGAGGTTTGGGTTTGGGGTTATCTTGGCGTGTTGCATTGTTTTTTTTTTTAATTCCAGTGTTTTTTTTTAAATTCCAGTGCAAAAGACTAAGAGAAACCCCAATAAAAAAGCCTAAAAACACGCCAAAAATAATCCCAAACCCAAACCTCTGCTCGGAGAGTAGAAAAAAAGCAAGATTCCTCGATTTGAAATATACTATCATAAGGGACGACAAAAATTAGGAAACAGATTGAATGAATGAACAGTGTACCAACCAACAAGTCTTTTATTCATCATGAAAACAGCAATAATCAGTAGAACAGCAGTTCTTGTCTTGTCCTGTTTTTTTCCTTTCATCACATCTTCCCTTATATCCTACTGACGTGAATCTTTAGTCATAGTTACAAGAAGCGGAATTGTTTTTTTTTCTGGGAACAGGCCAAAATCAATGCGCGCGCGGACGTCATCCATAAAATTTACTTGATGTGGCCCTATACAACTCACTGCCGTCCCATACATTAACACTAGAGATCACATGGAGATGATCATTGTCATCAAGAAGAACTTTGTCGCTCATAATATTGTTTTTAAAACAACACTGCTATTAAATGTATTGCATATATGATTCAAATTTAGACAGCCACAATTTATGTCTGTGATGGAAATACATGTATTACTAAAAAGGCAAGAATGCGTAACTTTTGAGTGACAACTGCAATGGAATCATTGTGGGGTCGTGTGGCGTAGCGGCAGTGCTCGACTTGGAACCAAGAGGTCCCGGGTTCGAGTCCTGACATACCACCGATCTTGTGCCCTTGGGAAAGGCACTTCACACGACTTTCCTCACTTAACTCAAGTGAAAATGAGTATTGCCCTGTCCTGTATTTGTACTCTGTGTTGGTGGCGGCATAAAATAAGTTAATATAACTTGAGTGTGCCGTCGCCATGTCTGGTCATGAAATGTTGGCATATAAAAAAATGTAATCATTTATTGTAATAAGGTACAATGTTGAGAAGAGTCCTGCCGACGGTTGGACACTGTAAGCGTCATCTTGGCAGGCGATGGAACTATTTCTTCTTAGGAAAACAAACAGATCTTTTCTCCGCGGAGGTAGACTGTTGACATTCCGGTGTGTCTTGTGAACTGACACGTAGAACATGTTAACAGACAAGAGAGAAAATGACGTTGTTTTGCGAGATGAAGGTAGACTTTGTGTAAACAGGTGTCCAGACTTCCACTGTCTAGTGGACAGTGAATAAAGGATATGAAAAACAAGTTGACAACAAATGTAATGACTGCTTTGAGATATTTTGATCCTTGATACTTCTTCAATAAGTCTTCTAAGAGCTAATACCTGTGATAAGTAAATTTTATGGATGACATACTCCGCAGACCACAAATCTAATGCTAGCGGGCGAAAAAAACAAGACGGGCCGAAAAAAACGGAAGTTCTGCTGCAGTACCATGGTCATCCACCAGGAGGCCCATATTTGACCTTGACCTTCGTCTTCCTAAGACTTACCAGCATACCAAATATCATCACAATCCATAAAGACGTTATGAAGTTATGCTGACTACAAATGTGCGGAAACACAAACACACACACAGACACACACACACACACGCGCCCAAAACAATACCTCCATTTTTCATGGAGGTAATAATCCTATGTTGTAGGGCCAGGCAAAATTAAAAAACGAAGTGATTGAAAGGTACCTGTAGTCCTTAAAAAAACTACAACAGAACACACAAACACATAAAACATACAAAAGCAATTCTTCTGTTATGACCATTTATTCAAAATCAGAAAACGTATACGATACAACAGTTCGGGAGGGCGACAACCTCCCTTCATTTGTCAATGATCAACATTGATGTCATTGTTAAAGCTGGGTGCTTAGGCTGGTTTTGTCAGCTCCATAAATACTGCCATTTCCCCATCCACTGTTTTCTTTACAGGTGACATATAATACACACCATGTGCACCACAGTTCAAACTATACCCACGTAACTTCGTTACAACTACATGTACAGTGGTTTGGCATTAAAAAAAACTTCTTTCACCCTTTTCAAACAAGCCAGCATCATAAATATAATCTTTTCACAGACACTTAAACAATCAACAGGGTAATAGTTATATTTTGTCCTTTTCGAAATATAGACTTTTTAAAAGAGAAAACGTACAGTAGTATCTTAAGAAATTGTATGAGGTAACGATACAATACTAAAGTTTAACTGCATTCTAAGATGCAAACACTTAGTACATACATATTCATCTTCCACTGTTGGACATTAAGAAACATGAAAGATACAAGTTTTCTACTTAAGTTAAGAAGTAAGAACTTCCACCAACAGTGATTAACACCACTTTTAAACTTCATCTTTCTTAACTCTTTTAAGGGGTTTACAATTCAGTAACAATATCATCTTCCTATCTATAGTACAGTAA